TTCCTGTAATGGAGAAAACATGGCCAAGGCCAAGGGCAAGTTGTACTTGAACAGAAAAACTGGCTCTATCTCTAAGTCCAGTGAAGATGCTTCTTGAGTTTTACTCATTCCAAGTGAAGACCCTGAGTCCTTGGATAATAAATGAATTTCGGCCTCACAGCAGGATGATTGGATTCTTCGGGTCACTGGAGGTATTTGCCTTCAGGAGAATCTTCAGTTGTACAGTCAAGTACTCGTGTGCCCCTCTCATCTCGAATTCTCCTCCATACACCAGGAGCATAGACAGGAGTTTTGTCTTGTTTCAAGGAAATGTCACTCAAGGCTTTGTTATTTTTATTATTTTGACAACAGTTACTTCTTAAGAAACTTCTTTTGCAATATTGTGGGCAATCATTTGCTAGGTCAGATGGCCGCTTCCTTGGCCGCTTAGCCACACAGACTCAGCTGTCTCATTTGTAAAGTGATGTACTGTATTATAGCAATAACATACCCGAAGGACTTGAGTGAGGGTTACAGCAGAGGGTAAAAAAGTCAAATTAATTTCTCAACATTAAAGCCCTAGACAAACGTAAGTCGTAGCTGATGATAATATTTAATATATTAGTCAACTAAATGGATGAAAGTCAGATCAGAAGACGATTCAGAACCAGTCACAAGCTAAGGCGGGAGTACAACCTGTGGGCAGTGGGAAGAGCCAAGGTCTTCCATCATCAGGCGTTGCCAGCAGGCCGCTGCCGGGGGAACCAGCCCCGCGCAGCCTCATTCCCTTCACGGCTGCATGGCCCTCGGCCCTCTTCTACGGCAGCCTAAGAGATGGGCGACACGGGACTGATTGACGGTTTCCTATTTCACTGCTCTACCTCTTCCCTGCCGCTCCATGTGTTGTGGTTGCACCTGTTTCATGCAAAATTTGAGACCTAGGATATGACCTCAAAACTGAACGGCGGCAAAGTATAGAAGCTATATTTTAAATGGTCCGTTGACACAGTGGTTCTAATACAGGCATTTCTATTTTCAAATCCTAAAGAAAGGTGGAGAACTGATGAGAGCTGTTCAGCACTTTGTGCCTGTGGGAACTTTGTGTTTTGTGGTGCTCTGAGGTTGGAGCATCTACCTCAGCCTGTGTTTCGTATGGTGATACCATAGCTCCCACCAAGTCACTTCTATTTTCTGAACTCATTTAGCTTGTGAATTTAGCTAGACAGCCAGCAAGGTTAGAGGGTTAGGTGCTGCTGGAGCCAGGGAACAAGGTTTTCTTTTTCTGAAAGGACACCATTTCTAAACAAGGTCAGGCCATACTTGCTTTAATCAGCTTAAGAAACGAGCCAATTTTTTAAGGAACCAACCTAAAAGTTGCATAATGAGAAATAAAGATATAACCATGATTATTCTTCATTAGCACTTTGCAATACTCTAAAAAACACCTTAGGATTTTATAGAACAATTATAATTGTATAGCTGCATTCCTTTTTATTTGTTTGTTAACCATCTCAAAACATGGCCTTTTGGGAATGGGAAACAGAAACTTTGCTAGAATTAAGAAGACGTAAGTAAAAAAACTATGATAAGGCTTAACAACAGGAAAGGGTCAGCAATTTAAATGAAGGGCAAAGATTTTAAACAACTGTATAGATAAGGCCTAGCACAGAGAACAATTTAAGATAGCCAAACCCTAAATGAAATAGCAAAGTCCAAAGCAAAAGTCATTCCGAGATTTCCACAGTCACTTGGAGGCGTTATGGATGATGGTATCTCTCTGCTCCCCTTAGTAGGATTAATCTTTGATTAAAATGTATCCAAAGGTCAAAGGAAAGTACAGTCTAATACAATCCTAAAGCCTGCTCTGTCCCTAAGTAGTCATTTCTTAGAACTTACTTAAAAAAATCAAAAAGGTGGAGCAGATGGACTCGCTCCGGTTCCTCCCAGATTTAGACTTTTCTGATGCTAAATACTCTGCTTGTGAACGTTGTGAGGAACTTGCACAGAACTCCCTAGTAACTAGGAGACCCCCGGAGATGAGGGCGTAAATAGAACTGTGGTCATAAGAGACTTGACTCATGAGTAACATCTTTTTATACATGATAAAAATCAAGATCATTATAAAAGCCCTACTTTGTTGAATGATACTCGATTAAAATACTTAGAATGCACTAGGCCATGCCTACTCAAACTGACTGATCAATCCTGACATTTATTTCTAAAAAACTACAGAAAAAAAAGAACATCAAAAGCTAGGTAGAGGACATTATCTCTTTACAAAAAACCAGACAAGCGACAATAGAAGGGAAAAGAGAGCAATTTTGTCTGTCAGATTTTTTAAAATCATTTTCTTCTAAATCTTTGTATCCTTCAAAGAATGTAATAGAAGGCATACAAAGGAAAGCTGGGAAATAAGCCTTGCTCTTTAAGAAGACATTATTAATGTCCCATAATGACGATATTTCCTTCAATTAAAATAAAAAGTAGAGACGACTCAAAGAAAAACAAAATTGTAGCATTAAAAAATACTTCTTTATTGTAGATTCTCAGTAAGTATTGATTAGAACACAAAAAATCCTTTTACATCCAATTCTTCTACCGCTGTCCTCATTATTATTCGTCCATTCCTTCAATAAACCTCTACCGAGTTCTTGGAATGTAAAATGCAGTTCATTAACCACTGAGAATGTAAGGGTAAAGTGGGTAGGACCTGTCCTTAAGGAGCTCACAATTCAGTGAGCTAATTTGCTGACTTCCAAAAAAGCAACACATTTGGTAATGTACTAGGATTGAAGTGATAATCCTAGACGATTACTTAGTAGCACACTGACTCACATTTCAGATAAACCTGGGGCAAACTTTTTGGCAAACCTAACTTATTTGTGAATGGGGACTCTCCCTCTAGAATGATTGTGAAGATTGAACATGAAAATAAACATGAAGGGAACTTTAAAAGCCTAAAGAGCTACCAGCAGAAGCAGGTAAGCCGAACATAATGGCACATTAACTTTCAGTGCAAATTCTTCACAGCAGAACCAAATATTAGAGCTGGAAGAAAATCTGGAAATCGTCTAATCCAATCTTCTCAGTCCACACTATTGAAAACAGGTTCTGAGGCCAATGGGACTTACCCAAGAATCCCCACTTTGGGAGGGGCACAGTCAGATCTCTTTTCTCAGGTCACCGTCTGATAGATATAAAGAAGTTAGGGTATATATTCTCTATACCTCATATGTGGCAAAAGAAATACGATGTATTGTTTCTTGGGTAGGTATTTTTATGGTGAGATGCTTTTTGGGAACTTCAGATATTTGATCACTTAGCAAACATCTTTGGGGATGACTACTAGTCGCCTACAGAAAGAAAACCACAGCTTTTGAATAAGGCTTTTAGTAAAAGTTTAAGAAGTAGCAATAAATGGCAACCAGCAACTATAGCCTTAGATCAAAGAACAACCTTTATACGGGTAGAGAGCAGTCTCCACTACTGGTTGTAAAACTTCAGGAAAAACATTAATAGCACAATCTTAGAAACCGGATGTGAATATAGTTCAATGACAAAAAAAAAACCAACAAAAAACCACACTGGATTATCCAAGCCCTATTGCGTCAAAATCACAGATAGAGCATGTTAAATTAAATGGCAGTTCTAAGAAATCCACAAGATTTAAGTGTTCTTGGCTAGATCGTGATAGCATCAAGAATAACCAAATAACCTTTCTTCTCAGCTACTTTTAGGATACGATTGAAAATTACATTCCTATACCTTCCTTCAGTTATGCAATCAAGTCCCCCAAATATTTGAACCACATCACAACCACAATGGCATCTTCAGAAGATGGGGTGTTACTATAGTAGAAACACACAGGCTTGGGAGACATTCCCCGTTGTGCTCGGCAACTAAATTGCTATGTGACTTGTGGGTGTGTCGATTGACCTTCCTGAGTCTTGGAGTTTTCACTGTACAATCCGTGCTTAGCAATATCTTCTAGCACTAGACAGACGAGGGTACCAGATCCGGCTCATTGTTGTAGTTATTTCGCTAAATCTTTATTATCTAGCTGGGCCTTTTGCAGAGATGTAACAAGGGGCTTTCCATAGGGAAGGACCAAACGAGCTTCCCATCAGTCTACCGAGGAGCTAACCAGCAGCTTTCTGGCGCCCCTGGCCCCTGGCCCCTGGCCCCTGGCCCCTGGCCCCTGGCCCCTGGCCCCTGGCCCCTGGCCCCTGGCCCCTGGCCCCTGGCCCCTGGCGGGTCCTCCTGTGCACTCTGGCCTGAAAGCTGGAGCCCAGCGGGGAGATAAGAAAACCGCCCGGGGGGCAGGGGGCGGGAGGGATGGAAACCCGCCCTTCTCAAACTAAAGTGCCCCCGAGGGTGTTCTTCGGCGCCTGGACCTAAGCTCATAAACAGGAAGGGTCCGCTCTGTTGCAGTTAGAATCCCGGTCTCGAGATAAGCCAGGGTTTTCTTATTTCTCTGGCCGCAACTGTTTTCCCAAACCGTGCCGAACGAACGGCAAACATCGCGGCCTCACAGAGCTGGGGGTCAGAGCGAGGATTGTTTGCGATCGCTCTTCGGAGGGCCGCGGCGAATGAGTTTAGCTTTGTCTTTCAAGTAACTACCATCTCCAGTGTCTCCCAGCGGGAAGAAAAGGAGCCAGTTCCGCGCCTAGGCTTTTCAAGCGTGCGCGGGCAGGCTGGGCGGGGCGCGGGCGAGGGTACTATATCTCCCGGCGGAGGAGCACACGGCAGTTCTCTCAACACACGCTGCAAACCGCGCTGTCCAGCCGATTGCTTAGTTGGCGCTGCTGAGGCTGCTTTCTTCGTTCGGTTTGACAAGGACGCTCTGATAGGCCAGTGCGCCCCTGCAGTGGTTGGCCGGAAAGAGTTGAGCCTTCTGATTGGCCGGAAAGAGTTAAGCCTTCTGATTGGCCTCTCCGCACCTGCAATGCGTCAAACCGCAGCGGGCGTGGAGGGCTCCGCGTGAGTGGTCGTGGATGGGGGGGCAGCCTGCGACCTCACGGGGAGGGAGCGGCTCCGCCTATGGCAGCCATCTTTACTAGTGGCAGTGGGGACTGTTGCGGCTGCGGAGCAGCTTTCCACAGCGCTCTTTAAGCAGTGGAGTAAAGGCTGTGCGAGAGAAGTTTTGTTTGGGGTTTCTTTTCCCTTTTTACTTTTTTGCTCGGGTCCCAGGGATGTGGTGGGGATAGAATTCCAGGGCTGGCGGCTGGGAGCTCAGCGTGGCCACCCTGGGAGGAGAGGGTCTAACAAGAATTTTAGCTGGCGCTTCAATAAAACCGCTTGGTGTGGGACCTCTCGGCGTGCGCGGGGGAGGGCGAATTGATTCCTCTTGCATTTTAGAAGCAAAAAATGAGATCTGCTCCCGGGCATCTTGCTGGAGCTGGAAAGCAATATGGAGCGCTCCCCCGAATACGTCACGGTTCTCGCCCTCGCGGTGCGCCGTCCCACCCGCACGGAATGCGGTTTTGTTTTTCAGAACTGTACATCAAACAGCCGTCTTGGAAACTGTTTATCGCTCCAGAAACAGTGGCCTGCAGGGGCGAAACTGAGCTTGCCTGGGAGACATGCTACGAGATGCTGGCTGAAAAAAAATTTTTTTGATCGTATCAGCTCATTTGCCTTTTTAGGCAACTTGTGTGTGCGCGCGCATCCGGTTTTCATTCGTCTCTGAGGTCCACCCGGGCGAAGAGAAAACCTTTTATCTCTTACTGTATCAGAAGGTTCATTGTTCAGGACTCATCTTCCGTTCAGGGGATACGGGGTGCAGCGGGGGGCGCGAGAATTAAAGTGTTTAGAGATGGGGAAAAGGAGAAGCCATGGCTGTCTTGCTCTGGCGCCAGGCGATGCCCTTGTTGGTTTTATTTGAGCTGCGTAGGTGCACATTCGGGGGTTTGTGGAAAACCAAGGGTGAATCCGGTGCTGCCTTGGCTACAGGGAGCTCCAGAATTCACCTTGTAGGCGGGTGTTGCCATGGCTACGGGGAGAGGTGGTTGGTGAATTTCTCGCCGATAAACCCAGCAAGGCCAGACCCCTCTGATTTATGAAGTCTTAGTAGTAATGGACCACCCTGGTTTTTGCGTCCCGCTTCCATCGTTCCCATCCCTGTCCAAGATTCCTGACTGATCGATCCAGGCACACAGGGACTGTCGATTTCAGTGTTGACTAATGCAGGCGCACTCACTGCCTTGTGTAGATTTTCTGATTAGATGCTGGGTATGGGTGGGACTACAGTCTTTGTGCCATTTGCCTCCCTTTTTGATTTGGAAGTTATTGCTAATTTTAGCAATTGTGGATATTTAATTCTTGCCTTTTATGCCTTTTCCCCATAAGTAAACGATCACTAGCCCCCTAAAACTAACAGCACCCCATTTTGTTGTTTAGCAGTACAGTGTCAAAGCACTGAGTCCATGCACATTGCAAAAGAAAGAATATTGCACTTTTGCATAATCTCCAAATAGCAGCAACCACTGGAGCGACCGTGGAACACGCAATAATTCAGTGTCCTTTGGCAGGTGCAATAGGAGCCTGCCACTCTGCTTGCTGTGTGAGGCAGACAGAGCGAAGGACTGAATTTTCCAGAGCCTAGGTTTCTTCCGTGGTGCAGAGAGAATCGAGTCTACTGCACAGAGTTCTCGTGACGATTGCGCGAGACGTGAACCTGCCAGCACTGTGTAAATTGTAAAGCTATTGACCTAATGATATTTGGTTACTGAAGCATTTACTGAGTGCCCGTAATTGTCTGACCTTGTGAGAGGAAGATTTTCCACTTTGCAGGAAGAACAGATGGACAAACTCAGATCCAAAATAAACCTTAGGTGGCACAGTCTTTCTTCATTGAGTATTAACATGGTCTTATTAGCATATATTGTCAGATTTTTTATCCTCACCAGAGGACATTTTTTTCATTGCTTTTAGAATGAGAAGAAGAGGGGAAGAGAGAGAGAAACTCAGTGTGAGAGAGAAACCAATTGGTTGCCTTCTCACACCCTCCTGGGCAGAGAGGATGAAACTGCAACCTGGGTGTATGGGCCCTGACCGAGGATCGAACCTGTGAATTTCCCTTCCGTGGCACGATGATCCAATGAACTAAGCCACCCCAGCCAGGGCTATGTTGCCACATTTGGGGGCTCTTGGGGTCACTAGCTTACCACAGTTTGTCTTGGACTTCCCTGGTTTTAACACTCAAACGCCCATGTCCTGGAGAGCCTCTTTCTCCCAGGCAAACCAGGACGGTTGGTCACCCCTGGACTGTTTTCAGTGCCACTGGGAGGATGAACTGAATGGGAAGTGAAGCTTCTTACTGTCCACAGGTGATTAGGATTCCCTGCAGCTGGACGTTACTGGACACAAGAAAACGGATGTCTATGTCTCAGGTAAGTGTGGCTGACACCTGGAACTCAGCACAGCCAAGGTCAAAGTGATCATGTCACCCATCTTTATTGTTCTCCCTTCTCTCAGTCCCCACACATGGTTCTTTTTAAAAATATATGTGTGTCTATGTAAAATTTTCTGTTTAAATTCTAATCTTTATCTCTGGTAAAGGCTTCACCAAAGCGTTAGTCGCTTTAGAGTGCAGAAGTTCTCTATTGCACCACAGCACCCGTGGCCAGTCTGATGGAGCCTCATGTCACATGATTCGTTGCCCATATTCCTAATGGAAGGTACGCTACGGTTCACTTCAAGTGACAATAAAGGTGCTCTACTTTTCCATCCAAGTTCACGGACCCCCTGAATTTTCCATAGAGTCCAGCTTGAGAATTCCTGTCCCTCCGCTGCCCTATTTCAGTTCTCTTTGCACTGTGTCCCTTTTACATTCTTTCACCTTTACATTCCCGTCGCCACCATCATAGTTCAAAACCTCGTTGCTGCTTTCCCGGTGAAAGTCTGTATTGGTCTCTGTATCTCCCATCCTAGTTCCATCTTCCGCCCAGAGATGGACAGTTTTTCAAAAGCTTCTGACGATGTTACTTCCCTGCTCAAACTTCCTATGGCTTCCCCAGGCCTGGAGAATTAAATCCAGATTTCTTAGGAGTTCCTGCAGGGCCCTCCACAATCTGGATTTTTATTCTTAGTACCCTTCCCATCTCCTAAATCTCAGCTATATATACATTGTTCTGAAATCTTTGCTTTCCCCCCTCCATTCTTTATTCACTTTGCTTTCTTGGCCTAGATCTCTGTCCGAAAAGTTCTAATATCCTTAAAGGCTTTCTTCAAGTGCAAAGCCAGCCAAAATTATCTCTTCCTCCACTGAGTCCCTTTGCACTTCACCCTCTTCTGTTACTGCATTCTACTTTTATTAAGAACATTTGATCAGTCAATTTCATAAGTATTTGTCAAGTACCTTTTGTGAGTGTGGCCCTGTATGATGGGCAGTAGGGATCTAAAATGAAACCGATGTGGACCTTCATTTTTGAAGAACTTAATATTTTAGATTGGGAGATAATGTGAACCTAAGTAACAGTTTTTCAAGGTAGAAGAAATGACAAGCATTTCAGGAATCCAAAGGGGAAAACTCTCTGCTACAGGGATAAGAGAAAGTTTTGTGGAGTTGGTGGCATCTGGCTGGCTTGGAGGGTCAGCAGCTTATGTGGATGGACACAGGGAAGGCATTCCACGCAGAGGGGACACTGGGAAAAAAGCAGGGAGGCTGAGAAGAGCAGGGTGTGCTGGGGAAGGAGACATTCAGTCTGTTATTAAGGGAGAGACCAGGCTGGTGTCAGGTTGGTTAAGACTAGGTAGAGAATGGCCACCCGTGCCAGATAAGAAGACGAGACTGTCTTGTATGCACGGAACCCACTGAAGAGTTTTGAGAAGAGACTGACAAAGGTAATGTAAGAATAATTATGTGGCAGCAAAGTGGGAGGCGAATTTTATATATAAAGAGAGACTGTAGACAGGGAGACCGATGGAGGCAGTAACAATAAGAATAATGGTAATATTTCCTGAGCACTTACGGAGTGCCATGCGGTGTCTTCATTTACGATCTCACTCGTTGTGCACAAAAATGATGTTATTTCACAATGAAGGAAAGTGAAGCTTCGAGTGCATAAGTAACTTGGTGGGTTTACCAATGGAGACAGACCTGGAAGTTGAACCCACTTACTGTCTGCAGTAGTTGGCCCACAAATACAAATGAGCTACAATCTGAAAGTTTTAGCATTGGGATTCGAGAAGATCCAAGAAATTGTACCTCACCAAGGGGCAAAGGATGAAAAAGCCACAGGTATCACTATGGTCGAGCTCAATTCCTGGACCGTACCCTCCAGTACTGGCCTTATCATGTCTCTCCAATGTATTTTTCTATAGCAAGACACCAGTAAGCAAACAGTTCTACCTCACTTTAAGAAAACTCATAATACTAAAGTGAGGAAAGGGTACCCGTTGGACTTGGCCTTCTGCTGGGACTCAGAAACCTCACAGAAGGAAGTGGCAACAGCACTGATTGGGGGGGGGGTGCCGAGTTAATGCTTCCAAGTATTCCTGTTGGGGGTGCTTCCCAAATGTGGACCAGAGTTTTCCAGGCATTTGCTTCTGGTGAAAGACCTTTGCTGGCCTAGTACCTGTTTAAAGGTGTTTAATGGGTTTCAGGGCACTGGAGGAGTGATTTTCTTATGCTGTGGGCCAAATCAGCAGCCTCCACATTCTCCCTTCCTCCCCTCCCCCTTCCACCCCCCCAAAAAAAAGTAGCCAAAAAAAGGAAGAGCTAGTGAGTGTGCTGTTCAGGAACTAATGGATTGCGTGTGCTTCCCCTGGACACTCTCTTCCCCATAACTGAAGACTATAAAGTAGGGCAGGGAGGCCCGTTTATTCCAATTTCTTCTGTTTTATACTTTTGGTCTTTTCCTGACTGTAGACGGAAAAATTTAAAACCGTACACATCAAAACTCTTTTAAACCTAGGAAAGGCTTTTACTTTAAACAATTCTAGTATGCATTTCACAATCCATTGACTACCTTTTCCCCTTTTCTAATATTCTTACGTCTTTCTGTGTATCTTTTATCTTTCTGATTAGTTCATAAATTAAAAAACAAATTACTGTAAAAAACAAATTAGTTCATTAGTTCATAAATTAAAAACAAATTACTGTAAAAAGATCTACCACCTGTACCATTGTCCTGCGTACAGTAGTCAGTCTTGATTTGTCATTTTTCCTTTTTTTTCTGATGTATCTTTTCTCCTCAACACTTATCTCTGATGACAGCATCAGCAGTTCAGGAATATTCTGGAAAAAGTACTCACCCAACAATACTTATTGAATTAATTCTATATAGCAGGGACCTCAGAATGTGAGTGCTGAGTACTCTGTCTTGGATTCGTGGTTCTTAGTGATTTGGGGGGAGAATCGACACCTTTGAGGGTCTGATAAAAACCATAGAAACCTCCCAGACATACACATAAGTAGGGTAATTATGCAACCCCTGTCATACAGTCTGGACTCTCTGACCCCCTCAAAACCAAAACAATTTTTTTAAAAAAATCCAAAAGATCCTCTAGTGTGATGTGTGTAGTGTTTATCACGGTATAATCATACGTGATCTCCACATAGATCAGTGTACATAGACATTTGTATGTAGCTGATCAACCATCTAGCACTAAGGGAACTGTTTCATTACTTAAACTGTGTGTCATATTTTTAAAAAATTTGATTATAAGACTCTAAAGCAAAAACTGCCCATCTTTCTGCTACTAGAATTTGAAAGGCAAAACACCTTCCAGCATTGTTTTTTCTTTAAGGTAAGAGTTCTGATTAATCACTGATACGGGCATTTTTCAGATCGTAATATGCCGTATCAGTAAACCTAGTCTTGGAAAGTGCTAGTCTCTTTTTTAAAATATTGTGCTACCTGCAACACAAAATTAAATTCAAGTCTGAACTGGAGTGCGTGAATGAGATTTTCATAGAACGTTTTTCCATGATCTGGTACAACTGATGTTTCAGTAATTCCTTATTATCTTGAAAACATATTTTCATCAAAGAGAATGAGTAGTGATTGCATAATTTTCATAGCAGCTTATCACAGATTCCTTTGTATTGCTTCCCGTGTACTGCTCTTCCTAATTAACAACAGTTTGCTAAATTGTATTGCAGAAAGCCTGATTAAGATGGAACCCTCCCATCTGGAGCCTGAGATCTCTGAATTTGTGGAAAACTTGTATCTTAAAGGGTGTGGCAGGGGTGGGACAAGGTGGGGGACTGTCATTTGATAATTTCCTCTACATGTGAATAGTTAATGATGGGATAACTGAACACGAAACAAAATTGATAGACAGCTGCGTTTCCTTGCCTCTACCTGGAAACTTGTTGCAATGATCATTTCAATCAAACAAGGTTGTCGAGATTCCCGAAAAGATGAGATTCTAAGTGGCTATTAGGAATCAAGTAGGACAGATTTCTTTATTGCTGGATGAAGTCTGTTTTAAATGCTAATATAAGCTGATTACAATGAAAAGAACCCCTCTTCTACCCATAAAGAAAGGTCTGTAGGCAGTACAAACACTATCAGAATCATTAGGGAGCATTATTGAGGTTCTTTCCTGGGCAAGGCACTCACACAGGTAACAGGCTTGCAGAGAATTGTAGCTCTGTGCTCACAACTAACCAGAGTACAACCTGCATGAGGATGAGACTGTGTTTTTACTTATGTTGGTTTTTGTTACACTTATATTTGCTTATGCCCTTAATGTGTGACTTATAATAGTTGTCAATTACACGCTGAACACCTGAATCAATAACCATCAAAATTGTTGGAGAGAAAAAGAAGTTCAATGGAAGAAGGGAAGCTTCTGTTTTACAATGTAGCTTTTAAAAGGCAAATATTATATTAGGTTCTTTTAAAACACTATGTGACTTTGATACCTACAAAATAATATAGTAAATGTAAATTATTGAGAAACATATTAAAATAAGCCACAGTGAGCCCGTCACCTATTCAAATCACCAGCAAATGACCAATTTTGTGGAAAACACTGGTGTACTTCCCACTGTCAATCTAGGTCTGCCATCTTATGGATCCCAAATGGTACTGCCAAAATGCAGGGCGGTGCCTCTGTTAGTGCGGGAGACGACATTTGCACAGACCAAGAGAACACCTGCTCGCGCACCTGTAGCTTATTTCCAAAGGAGTCTGTACAGCATTCTGAAATGTATATTCTTTGGTGATTCTTAATTTTAACTCTCTAGGAAAGAATCCAAGTAAATTGTGCCAATTTTAATTGTTTATTGACCCCACGAAACATTTCCCAGGCACCATTTCATTTCTTTGCTTTTGAAATGGTCTGGAAAGGAGAGAGCAGTTCTTCACAGTGATTGTGCGTGAGCACCCGCATGTGTGTTTTACGGAAGCTGGGAGCAGCTACTCGTGCACGACTGTGAAACAGAACAGTCTTCCTCTTTTCAGTGTACATCGCTGGGAAATGATGGGCATAGGTGGTTTCCCACGGCAGAGTGTGTGGAATTCACGCCCTCCCTCCCCTGCTCAGGCACCTTAGCCCTTATCCTTTATTACATAAAGGATCCCAAACACAGAACTTGTTCACAGTGACCACGAGGGAGGTTAGACAGTAGGAAATATTTTTCAACTCTTTCAAAGTTATAACAGTAAAATATTGCGAATAAAAGGTGAAGGGGGAAAAGAGTCTGATTCTAGAGTGAATTATGGAATTTGCCTCTAATTAAACTTTGTTTTGTCTAAAACAGATCCACATAGAAGTGTTTCGAGCCCTGGCTGGTGTAGCTCAATGGATTGAGTACGGGCCTGCGAACCAGACAATCAAGGTTCCATTCCCAGTCAGGGCACATGCCTGGGTTGCAGGCCAGTTCCCAGCAGGGGACACACCAAAGGCAACCATACATTGATGTTTCTCTCACTCTCCCCTTCCCCTCTAAAGATAAATAAATAAAATCTTTTAAAAAAAAAGTGTTTTGCCTCCCTTCTCACTAACATGATCTGAGACACCAAAGTATCCTGAGGATTGCGTTCGATGGGCAAACTGAAATTCTATCTACGGCAAACATGGTAATTCTGTTTAAGGTTGCTGATTTCATGAAGCTTTTCAAATTCTCTTCCCCACTGGTTTCCAGTCTGTTTCTGTGTTTGCACTGGGGTGTGGCTGACCGAGCAAGCAGTTGCTGTAGCTACCAATTTGCATCTGTGTGGATCCTTACAGCCGAACCACAAACATCACCTTATCCGTCCTAGAGAACTAACTGTAGGGTACTTCTTTCCAAACAATTTCAGCTTCTCAGGGCTCCCTCTTTTGTTCAGTAGAGACGCTGGATGTGATTACCTTCTTCCTGCAGCCTCCTGGGAGGTTAACGATTTTCTGATCATCTTATGAGTTAATTATTAGATCCCTCTCTTTAGAATTTTATCTCAGTTTGAGTAAGTTATTATTACTGACTTGAGGAAACAGTGTAAAGTATTATTTCCACATCAAGCCTAATCAGAAGACTATGACCTCCATATTTTTCTGTTTATTTTGGTCATATAAAAGGTCCAGCAGAAGTAAGGCTTGTGTGTGAGTGGTCAGTGGGGTACGTGAATGTCTCTCACCAGATGGACAGCAATTTGAACATTTCACCTAAAATGCCACGTGGTGTGCTCGAGTGGGATATTGTTATGTTACAGAATTACATGCTTATGACTTTGTCATAAAAAGGGGATGTTAGATGTCCCAGACCCTGCATTTTAAGATTTTTACAAACATTTAACATGCTTTAATATTCTGGTCAAAATTAAAAGTATTCTTTTATAGTCTGACTCTAATAGTTTACTCAAAACATATTTGAGGAAAGCTTTTGGTTTTTGCTTCCAGTTTGTTCATGTTTTAAAATGTCTAAATCATCTACATTCACTTTTACTCTTAAAATATGCCATCATAATATAAATGACTATTCCAGGCTAACAATGTATTTTATAGAAATGAAATTATTCACAAAAATAAATCACTATAGGAAAGATACCGCACAAGTGTCTTGTGAATTTCAAATTTCACTGAAAAAAAAGTAAAGTTTGAGATAATTCTAATGCTGAAACCTGATTCGGAGAAAGGAATGCGAATGCGTAATTTATTAGGTTGGCCAAGTAAGATGGTTCGAGTAGCACTTAGTTGTCTTTAACTTCATTCAAAACAATTTTGTTAGATTGTATTGTGACAGCTGTCATATCAGTGTGAATGGAAAAAAAAAAGTATCAGCATTGGTGGATTTTTGTATAGCTGTTTTAATGTTGAAGATGGAAGAAAATATGCAACATTTTCAGCATATTGTGCTTTTATTATTTCAAGAAAGGTAAAAATGCAACTGAAATGCAAAAAAGGATTTGTGCAGTATATGGAGAATGTCCTGTCACTGATCAAATGTGTGAAAAGTGGTTTGTGAAGTGTCACACTGGAGGTTTCTCGCAGGACGGTGCTCCACAGTCGGGTGACCAGTTGAAGTTGACAACAATCAAATCAAGACATTGAGGACAATCAACATTCTACCACATGGGAGATAGCTGACATCCTCAAAATATCCAAACAATAAAGTTATTGGTGAAAATGAAAAAAAACATGCCTTTTATTTTAAGGAAGAAAACCATGTGGACTTTTTGGCCACCCAGTACATGTTGAAAGGTTAGTATATAGCTATCTATTAAATTTCAAGGTTTAGTTCACTTTTAGTTCCGCTGCTGGAATATCCCAGTGGCCATATCCAAAACCAAAATCATTGCCTGTTCTGTGTCTTTCACTTAAATATGTAATCACAATATTTTTCTTTAAGCAATTACTTTTGGAAAAATAAGGTCCCAGTGAAAATTTAAATTGAGGCAACTGGTTTTCTAGAGCCCTGTGAAAAGCAAATTCAACATTTATTCTTCAAAGCACAGGAAGAAACTGCAAAGCAGAAATAAAAGGAAGAATAAGGACTTCAACGTCTCATAGATCTGTGTTCAAACTCTGATACTGTCACTCATAACCTGTGTGATTTTGAGCAAGTTCTTTTAACCCCTCTGGCCTCCACTTCCTCATCTGTAAAATGGGCGTGATAGGATTAGCGGTCTCATCCGTTCTTCTGAGGGCAAAGTAATGTAAAGCAAATGTGAAATAGACCACAAAAATGTTTTTATAGCTCGTTGCACAGATTTGCCTAATAATGGAATGAATTGAATAAAGAAGAAGCAAACCGGATAGACGTTTCTGCGAAAGCTCAAGCATGAGTTGGGGCCGCCATCAAGGATTTTGTAGAATGTATTTTTTTCACTGGGAGGGAAGTTGGACCAGACCTGGACTCGGAGATCCCTTCTGATTCAAAAGTCTAAGATTTTAGCAAGTTTAAACTAATCCTTTGTTAAATCAACCTTAGCGATTTTGGAGAGTGTGCATGGGAGGAGGCATTTGGGGGGTGTTTAATAATTATTCTGGAAATTAATCCTAATTTGGGGCAGTGCAGAAAAACCTCTTTTCCTTTTGTCATCATTAAAGTTATGTTGATCGTAGAAGATAAAAAACATTAAACTCCTATAGTTCTAAAAGTGCTTTATAAAAGCAATACCACTTTAAGTTTCTCTTCTATTTCCGCTGATCTCCAGCAAGCCCTTTTTAATAGAATGCACGGGTCGTTTTCTGTCATTATTGGGTTCTGAAGTTTGATCTCCTCTGAAAGATGACTGTCCATGGGTAACTGGCCATGTGTGGTGTCATGTACCTTGTAAGTCCTGGATGTTGATCAATGGTGGAGATTTTTTCATTTTAATTCTGGCAGAAAAACCTTGTGATCAGAACCAAAGGGTGTGACTCTGCCCTGTTGGGTGGGTACCAACTACACACCCTCTCACTGTTTCCCGACATACACCTCGTTGAAGGGGAGAGACTGTAGTTCCCTGGCTGCCAGTGCCTGTCAGGCGTGAAACCCTGTGTTAGAATTCTCCGGTGGGCAGGGGGGGTCTTATCCACCCAGGACAGCAGTAACCGGAGGTTTGTTTCTGACCAATGGTACACCGACCCTTAATAAGACTATGACCTAGTTTATACCATGCACCCTGGTTCCCACTCTTCTCTGTGGTCTTCAGGTCACAGCTTCCATTCTCAGAAGTCTTGATTTAGTCTTCTCCACAACCCACCCTATCCCAAAGCTTACTTTCTGGAAAGGATGAGTTATTAATACGCTACTGGAAATTTGGGTTAATGTCTTACCTCTCTCAGGGATACAGGCATTTCTGACTTTTCTTATGGAATGGTAGCATCAGCAGAGAGCAGAGGTCTGTTGGGGGCAGCCTTTTGGAGATTCAGTCATGTAAAACTATCTCCCCGCCTACTTTCTTTTAAGGTCTTCACCTCGAAGTCTCCGAGTCTCATCTCCAACATTCGCTCCCATACGACTTCCTCTCATGCAGTCAGCAAATATTTACAGAGCTCCTGGCATGCACTAGGCCGGGCACATGGCATCCCACAGTGAGCTAAAGAAAGCTTGGTTTCTACCCTACATGGCATGTCAACACGAGATTTCAGATAAAGGAAGAATTTAGCTGTGTGAAACGGAACTGGAGAATACAAGAAGAAACTGTGGGTGAAACTTATATACAGAGCGGGGCAAAAGTAGGTTTACAGTTGTCCGTAGGGAAAAGAGTGCAATAATTAATAAATAATAATCCAAGAATACACTCTGATTTGCGTCCTCATGACTGTAAACCCACTTTTGCCCCACCCTGTATTCTAGGAGTGGTCTTGATTTTTCTAAGCACGACAGCAAAGTCAGAAACGACAAAGCAGTCTTCAGCCCTACCGCCCCGAAAGCGCCTGATTTCACGTGATCTCGGAAGCTAAGCAGGGTCGGGCCTGGTTAGTACTTGGATGGGAGTAACCACAAAACAGAATAAATTAATTTGACTAAAAGGAAATTATGAAAACTTTCCCATGACAAGCAAATCCCATATAAGCAAAAATTTTAAGGTGAGCAGCCATCTGAGAAAATATATTTAATGTACATATTTTTGTACTTTTTTCTTTTTGGAGAACGGGGAAGGGAGGGAGAAAAAAGAGAGGGAGAGAAACATCAATGTGTGGTTGCCTCTCATGTGCCCCCAACTGGGGACCTGGCCTGCAACCCAGGCCTGTGCCCTGACTGGGAGTTGAACCAGTGACCCTTTGGTTTGCAGGCCGGCACTCAATCCACTGAGCCACACCAGCCAGGGCTATTTAATATATTTTAAAATACATAATAGGCCTATATAACATCCTATATACAAATGTACGAGGAATTCTTACTAGTACATAAGAAAAAGACAAACTCTCCAATAGGAAAACGGGTGAAGGTCTTGGTTAAGCAATTTATGGAAGGAGAAATACAAAGGGCCACAAATATCTAAGTGTAAATTAGTGTAATATTTCTGGAGCTCATGTACAGCGTGGCAACTATATCACATATTTGGAAATTGCTCCCCCCGCGCCCACATACACACAAGTGGGAATTATATGAGGAAATGGAGGCGTTA